AATGATTCCTGCAAGTCAGAAAACGGATCCAGAAGAAAAAAGAACAAGAAGAAAGAATGAAAGAAAATAAAAAATAGATTCCTAGAAAACGAAGCGATCGGAATTTTACGTTTAACTCGCCGTCCTCCGGAAGTACCTGAGGGTTGACCAGCGTGTACCTCCCGCCGGTCCAGAGGTACGAGCCGTCGAAGCCGAAGGAGTAGAGGTCGTCGCCCACGCCATTGCCTCCCCACTTCTCGCCTCCTCCGGGATAGCTGACGTAGCCCTTGGTGTTGGCCCAGCCGAGGCGCAGGTGAGGCGACAGATGCGACACCTGCTCGATGTGATCCAGGGTGAGCTCGTAGTACCACCTCTGGTACATGGCCGAGCCCTCGACGTGGCCCACGAAGATGTTGGGGCGGGCGCTGGAGCGGGGTGGACGTAGAAGGATATGAGTGTGGAAATGAGTTTTACTTTAACTTATCTGATTTCTGGACACTTGATTCTGTCAGTAACTAAGGTAAAGAATACCAAAAGCCTAGAACTAATATTTTATCATGGCGATACATTCTTATCGTAAGCTATATAAATTACACTTTCCCTCTCTCTTCTCAGGAAAACAACAAAACCTTCAACAAAACTTTCTAAATTATCCAACTCATCCACTAGACATGTAAAACTTATCCACAGCCTTCGTACCTGGATACGTGGTCAACAAGCTGTGTCTGCAGCAGGAGATTGCGACCCGGAAGCAGGTAATCACAGATGTTATTCTGCGAAGACCTAACAGCTGTTCCGTTACCCACGCACAGAGAACAGAGGACGTCCAGTACCTTGGGGTCGCGGCCGTACTTTTCTAACAGGGCGATGATGACCTTGATATGTTCTTCCTGTAACACGAACCAGGTGTTTTAGATAATTGTGACGCCACGAAAACCATCCTCTCAAAATTAATCGCAAGTTTTTTCGGACCCACTGTATTTTGACAATCAAGGAGCATAATAGTATGAAATGTATTTTAACAACCAGTGAGCATAACAGCCTAAAACGTATTCTAATCATCACAAGGTCATTCCCAGCTGACCTTCATGACATTGAGAGCTTCTGGAGAGTCGATGAGGACGCAGTGCAACACATCCAGCATGCCGGTGCCCTCGCCAGCGGAGCCCAGACGGGAGAACAGCCAGTTGAGGCGGTGGCTGTTTGCGAACTGGGAGCAGTTGGTGTGGTTACCCTTAATCACCGCCGCCAGCAGCTGGTACAGGTATCCTGTAAGATTGAAGATTACCCTTGTGAGTGAGCTTTTTTATTCTAAACAACAAAATATCTACTGTACGAGTATTGCTAAAATTGCACATAATCTCACTAAACACAAAAATAAACTCAGGTATTTAGAAACTAAACATCTGTGCACCATTTTTTCCGTCATTTACTTCATTATCAGTAAATCATACGGAAATACTAGAAAGCATACGATTCTTTAGAATAAAACAACGACACATAAACGAATCTTATAATCAAAGAATGACCAAAAATATCAAGACACCCAAAGAAGGAAAGAAAAAAGACGCTCTGGAAACGCACCCGAGATGACCTCCCAGTCCTGGCCAGCTTCCTCTCCCGCCAGCGCCACCATGTAGCCCTGGGACGTGATGACTGTGATCTTGTCGATGGCGTCTAAGATAAGGTTGAGGATGCCCTCCTCTTGGAACAGGTCCTGGCGGTTCCTGAGAGCACGGAGAGCCACCTGCCGTTCCTCGTGTTCTGGTGGGAAGAGAAGGATCATAGGGGAAAATCTATCTCGCTTTATATTTGTTTGGATTCCTAAAGGTGATTAATCTCTACTTTCATGAAGATGATAATATATAGAAATAAATTACTGCACTTAACATTTCCTGGGTTTTATACAACCTAGATCAAAGAATCCAGAACGACTACACATACGATATAAGTTTGTACACATACGATATAAGTTTACTGATTAGAAAACAAGGAAGGTAGGCCTACCAAGTTCTTCTTCGGGATATGCGAAGGTAGTTGATGAGATCTTCCAAACAGCTGATCATTTCCTTGAGGTTGACAGTTCTTAGGAGGATGGAGTGACGGCGAGAAGCCTGGATGTTATCCAAACCCCTGGGAGAGGAAAAAAAAACTGGTTCAGTACAGAATCTAACAGGAAAAGAGGAATGTCACATAAAATGATAAACGGTTAACTTTTAAAAATGTAAAATCCACAAAATTAAATTAATTCATAAAAAAACGGATGTCCTTCCCTGATGATAGTTTTCATTAATCAAAGCTAATCTTGAGAAAAATCCAATTTCACAATAACTGGACATCGAATTATATAAATCAAGTATAACTAAACAAACACATAGCTATACTTACAGAACAGATAAACAAACGAATAAATACAAATAAAACAATAAAAAATCAAACAAACCACCCACGACCGACGACCCGCCTCCCCTTCCCACCCAGACCACCCAACAAAACCAACTCACTTGATAAAGATCGTGAAGAGATGCGAGCACTTCCTGATAACGCGAGCGGTGCGGGACTCTTCCTCTTGACTCCTGTAGAAGACCAGGCCGTCGTCCATCTTGCCCTCTTCGTGGAGTGTGCCCTGCTTCACCTCGACTTTGCCCACGCCCTTCTTCTTGATCTCGAAGGCCTGTGTGGAGGATAGTGGGCGTTTGGGAGGAAGTTATGATGGCGAGAAACTAATGCGTGTTGATGGAAAGCAAAGATATGATTATGTATGTGTGTATTAATTGTGTGTTTTAGTGGTATTTACTAACTCATTCGTATGCGCTATGTGTCTTCGCTGTCGAACTATTCTACAATTACATTATCACCTCCTTCAATATACATATGTTGATGCACTAGCTAACAATATTCAACACAGCGGATCCAAACTAAATAAAAAATAACCACCGGAACTAATCCAACGCGAATCTCAACACGAGGCAGAACTCAGCTCCACTCACCCTGTACGAGAGCCACAGACCGGTATCCACGTGCTGCACGATGACAGTGGAGTCGCCGTACTTGATGAGTGGAGTGCCAATCACCTCCAAGTCCTTGTCCTCGAGGATCACTTTGTTGTCGTCCTTTTCCTCGCGCAGGTAGAAGGACGTGGCAGCGAGTGTGGCTTCGTCCCTGGAGAGAGTGGAATAATTGATTTTTTTCTCTTTTTCTTTGTCTTTTTTTACAATTTCTTTATGTTTTTTTTCGCTTTTTCTTTCTGTCTTTACTTCTTTTGACAATTTCTTTATATCATTTTTTTCGGTTCTTTCTCTGTTTTCTTTTTCATCTCTCTACACTATTCTTCACAATACAAAAAAAAGTGACAAAATGAAAGAAAAAAATACACAGAAAACAGAAAACAAACCAACATAATAACCACATCTTGTGTACTTCTCTCGTCTTTCTTTCTTTTCTTTTCTCAAAATATCATCATCTTCAACAACAAAATCACCAAAATCCCCCCCTCATTACCTGTGCAAGAGGACGAGGTCATTGTTCTCATTGATGCCCAGGTATCTGCCGGTGGTGATGTGCCTGATTCGCATGGGATGGAACCAGTTGATGTAGCCGCCTGACCACTTGGTGCGGGCGAGCTCCAGGCGCCAGAGGGACCTAGCTTGGGAGGTCACGGAGCCACCTTCATATACGACGATGCTGCGGGCGGGGAGAGAAGAAAAAAAAGAGGCGTCAGGGTTTGCTGTTTCGTGTGTTGTGGTTTTGGGATTTAATTGTATTTCGTCGGTATTTGTATTTCTCTCTCTCTCTCTCTCTCTCTCTCTCTCTCTCTCTCTCTCTCTCTCTCTCTCTCTCTCTCTCTCTCTCTATATATATATATATATATATATATATATATATATATACTATATATATATATATATATATATATATATATCACACTCTCTTGCTCTCTCTATTTGTCATGTATTCACTTTATCTCTATTCCACCTCTCTCCCTGTTTCATGAACATTTGTTCCTTTCTTTCTCCTTTCCCTCTTCCATTCCTACTTCATCCTCGGTCCCTCCCTCCCTTCTCTCCCCTTTCTTCTCCTTCATTTAACTTTTATCTTTCCCCTCTCCTGGTCTTCTCCCACTTTTTATTCTTCTCTTTACCCTCTTCCTCATTTTGCTCTTCCTCCTCCCATTTAATCTCTCCTGTTTTCCTCCACCTTTCCTCTGTCCTTCCCTCCTATTTCGCCTTTCTAATTTCCATTTGCATGGCCCCCCATTTTCTCCTCCACTCATTCTTTTCCTTCCTTTTACCCTCCTGCTTTTTCTACCCCTTCTCCCCTCCCTCCTTCCTTTCCCTTCTCTCTTCCCTCCTTCCCCGCTTTCTACCCACCCTCCATTTCCCCTCTGCCCTCCCTCTGCCCTCCCTCCTCTTCTCCCCCTTTCTACCCGTCAACCTTATTCTCCTACTCCTCCTCCTCTGACTCCCCTCCCACCTTTCTTTTCCCCAGCCACCCACCCCCTCCTTCTTACCCCCCCTACCTTCCTCCTCCTCTCCACCTTCTCTTTCCCCTCCACCTCCTCCTTCTCATCCCCTACCCTCCCTCCTTCCTCTCCCCTTTCTACCCGTCAACCTTATTCTCCTACTCCTCCTCCTCGACTCCCTCCCACCTCCTCTCCTTCTCACCCCCTCCACCCCTTCCTCCCATCCCACCTTCTCTTCCCCCCCCTCCCACCCCCCTCCTTCTACCCCCCTCCCCTACCCTCCCTCTTCCCTCTCCCCTTCACTCACTCCCAATCTCCTTCCCTTTTACCACTTACTTCTGCCCGGGTTGATCGGACCACGTGGAAGGAATAGAGAGGCACTCGTCACCACCGTGGAAGAACCGAAGGACCTCTCCGCCGAATACACAGGCTGGGGGGCAAAAAGTGAAGGAATTGGTTTCCGTGTATTTTTAAAAGATGGATCGATGGGTGTAAGAGAAACACAATAAAAAAGATGACAGGGAGTTTACTATCATTATGATTATCATCACTACCATCATTGATACTTATCATAACTTCTCATAACTCCTCATAACTATCATCCAAACTACCATTACCATAATCATCATCATCATTATCCCACCATTACAATCTACATCAAACTCCTTAAGACACTCTCCGGCGATGTAGAACAAAATAGAAAAGGCATGAATGAGCATGAATATCTTCACAATACAAGAGACACACTCCTGACCAAGATACATTCGAAACCGACCAAAGACATCTCTTGTATTGTGAAGATATTCATTCTCATCCATACATTTTCTACATTTGTGACCATGAATACGACTCACTCACCCACAAACTTGAGTCTGGAGAGGCCGGTGCCAAAGGGCGCGACGGACCAGTGGGTGACGTGGAAGGAGGCGTTGACGATGCTCTGCTCGTCTTCGCGTGTTGCTTGCTGGGGGAGGAACAAGAGGAAAATGGAGGAGTGTGGTGAGGAAAATACATGAGTGAGGTGAAGAAAGGAGATGCGTGTGGCCAGGAAAATGGATGAGTGTGGTGAGGAAAATGGAGGAGTGTGGTGAGGAAAATGGAGTAGTGTTGTGAGGAAATCAGAGGAGTGTGATGAGGAAAATGCATGAGTGTTGTGGGGATGGAGTGTTGTGAGGAAAATGCATGTGGAGAAAAATGCACGTAATTGGTTATGTATTGAGAGGAAATGCTTTGGGGTCAATTTTTGGTGAATGGATCTTTTATGGATGATGCATGAGTGTTGTGGGAATGATCTTTTGATGATAAGCTTTTGATTATAAAGAGCTCTTTTAATGATAAACTTCTGGAATGAATTATTTCTTTATTCAGTGCCTAAACATACCTAATACTTACCGTCTTACATAAATATTTACAATGAAAAACATAAAAGAAAAAAAATACTCCCCCTTAAACCCTACAACCAAAGGAAACTACTTAATATTCTAAAAAAAATAATAGATAAATAAAAATACAACATAGTTTTAAAAATACCAACCAGATATCGCTCGGTGGCAACAGACACAAGAATGAGGTCGTCACCGACTCGAACCTTCTCGCCCTCAGACCTCTGCTTGCTGGCCGGGTGGATGGTCCACCAACACGACTCTCCTGTGGATTAGATTTCGATTTGATTCTTGACTATTTATTATTCTTTTTTGGGGGGGAGGAGACGGTGTTGTTGTAAGTCATGGTGATGTGTGGATGTATGGATTTTGTGAAAAATAGTTGTAGGTGGAAGAACAAATGGATGGTTTGTGAATGTGTGTGTTTGTAATTGTGAATCAGTAAGTGTGTGCATGAAAGTGTATGTGTGTGTAAGTGTGTGAATGTGTGCTGAATATGCCTGTGTTTGTGTGTGCTTGTTTGTGTATGTGAGTGTCTACAAGTGTGCAAATATATGTATGAAGGTTTTTGTCTCTTTGTGTATGTGAATATCCATGAATAAGCAAATATGTATGTGCGCCAATACTCTCCATCCACCGGCTTAAAACACCAGACAACACAATAACGAAAACAAAACAATGGTATCGAATCCCCCTCGAGACTCACCCTTGGAGTGTTCCTGCAGACCCACGTCGAAGGCCAGCTTGTCCTTGGAAGAGCTGGTGGAGAGGCAGGCCAGGTACTGAGGAGAGACAAGACGTTCAGCCCAGAGCCAGGGTCCCGTAGGATTCGATTGTGTATTCACCCTCTTAAATCCTCCAAAATGCTCGCTTCTGATGCTAATTTCATTGATTTGATTTTGTTTTCTTTTTAGTGTGTGCGTGTGAATATGACAGTTCATCGAAAAAAAAACATGTCTACAATGGAAGGAGGAAAAAAGTTTTGACAAGTTTTTAATTGGATATTCTCTGAAAGACCGCCGCCCTTCTGGAATACAAAACGCTTCCTCTCCTTTGCTCTCACTTTTATTTTCTTCTTTCCCTTCCAGCCTCGTCTCTCTCTCTCTCTCTGCTCCTCTCTCGTCTGCTCTCTATCTCTCTCTCTCACACACACAACCACACACACAATCAGTTCTTAGTCTATCGGTCTATCAATCTATCAATCTATCACTCTGAATTAATCTATAGGTCTAATCAGTCTATCAGTCCTATGTCAGTCTATCAACCTATTTGGGCCTATTTATCCATCTTTCTTCTAATTCGATCTATCTATTCATTCCATCGTATCTGTCTATCTATTATATTCTCTATCTATCTCTGACTCTATCTCTGACTGCTATCTCTACTTCAACTCTAACCTCTATCTCTATCTATATCTTCCCTACCCCTTCTCTCTCTCTTCTATTTAATCTATTCTCTGCTCTCTCTCTCTCTCTCTCTCTCTCTTCTCATCTCTCTCTCTCTCTCTCTCTGCCTCTCTCTCCTCCTCTCTTCTCTTCTCTCTCTCTCTGGTTCTCTCTCTCTCTCTTATTCAAGTCTGCTCAAAGTCTCTCAGTATATCGGTCTATTCGGTCTATCAGTCTATCTATCAATCTATCAATCTATAGGTTTTCAGGTCTATCAACCTATTTGCCTATTATCCATCTTTCTATTCTATGTCATCTATCTATCATTCGCATCTATCCGTCTATTATACTCTCTCTATGCTTATCTCTGAACTCTATCCCTCTACCTCTTAACTCTACCTCCATCTTTATCTATATCTCCCTATCCGTCCTTCTCTCTCTGTTTCTTCTAATCTAATCCTATTTCTCTCTCTCTCTCTCTCTCTCTCTCTCTCTCTCTCTCTCTCTCTCTTTTCTCTCTCTCTCTCTCTCTCTCTCTGGCTCTCTCTCGTCTCTCTCTCGTTTTTCTCTCTCTCTCTCTGCTCTCTCTCTCTCTCTCTCCTCCTCTCTCTCGTGTCTTCTCTCTCTCTCTCTGCTCTCTCTTCTCTCTCTCTCTCTGATCTTCTTATCTCTTTCTCTTTCTCTTTCTCTTTTCCTCATTTCCTCTTCTCTTTTCTCCTCCTCTCTTCTCTCCTATCTCTCCTCATCTTCTCATCGTCTCTCTCTCTCTCGTCTCTGCTCTCCTTCGTCTCTTCTTCTCATCTCTCTCTCTCTCTCTCTCTCTCCATTTGGAGTTCTGGTGGCCTGAGGATGACGGCATTGCCATGAGCAGCGTCTCGCTGTGTCCCGAACCTGTGCCTTTCTGCTCCTCTGACCATGTTAGTGGTGCCTGAGGAGGACGGCATTGCCATAGAGCAGCGTCCTGTGTCCCGAACCTGTGCCTTTGCCCTGAAATGGAGTGCGGGAGATAAAAGAGTTATCAGTAATGGCGCGACGTCGTGGTTTCCCTGACGTCACTTTCGTGTCACTTTATATCTAAAGTGTGTGTGATTCTAGGGGCGTTTTTTTTTTTTTTAAGATGAGAGAAGAAAATATTTTTTTTCCTACAGATGGTCTACGTGGTGAAGTGACGGGAATAATATGACAGTAAGATTGGAAGACAAGAAGTGAAAGAGGAAAAAAAATAAATTATATACAAGGGAGGGAAGAAAACCTATTGAGTTTTAACTTTGTTTTACATGAGAAAAAAAAAAAAAATGGTATCAAATTGGGTGAAAAAAGTAATAAGAAAAATGTCTATTTCTTCTATGTCGATCTAGTTTTTATTACTATCATTCAGGTATCCAACATTGTATAAATGTGTACATGCAAAAAAACATCAAGAGATGAATAATTGAACAAATATATTTGTTTTAATCAATAACATCCAATAGTATCTCGAAATTGTGAAACAAAAGAAAAGAGGGGCAATCGGGAGAAGGGACAAATAAACAGATAAATAGATGAACACGGAACAGATCAAGACCGCATTTAACATCTACGGGACAGAATGGACCAGTGGGGGAGGGAGGGGGATCTCTCGGAACTCAAAACAGGGATGAAAAACAAGCTGAAGTCAGTCAAGTAGGAGGCGAAGCGTGAGGGACACCGGAGTGACCAACACCACTGCGTAAAACTGATGGACGCGACTGGAGGCGTCCCAGCGCCACCTGGAGCTCCTTGAGAACGGCCGCAGATTCCCTCGTCCGGTCTCGGAAGTCCAAGATTCTCCTTCGTCCATTTAAAGTCTATTTAAAGGGGAGGGAGACTCCTTCGTCGAATTCCGAAAGAGGGAAGGCAAGAAACACACGTCCTCAAGGAACGCCACTGCAGCACGCAGGACAAACCCTCCAATGGAGAACTTAATTAATCAATGCTTACATCATCAACAATCAAATTCTTCATCGGAGGGATTCATAGAATACAAAAAAAAAAAACGCAATCATCAAGAATATAAAAAATAACATAGTGCCTGTATAAGTAAGGAGAAAAGTAAGACAGTCTCTTCCGAAGAAGGACTGCGAGAAGGGTGTATGTGTGTCCAACGAGAGGAGGATCTGAGTCAACTACGTCCTTCCCGAGTCAAGACGAGACACCTGAAGGGGGAGGCAGTCTGAAGCACTACGTCAAGACAACAACACATTCAGGCCGGCTACACTACTGCTGTGTTAGGTAGGTGCTATGGCCACAACGTCAACACGATGGTTTATACAGATATTCTCGGAAAACAAAAGCGCCTGCTTTCAAAAATTGTTTTTCTAAAACAAAAATAATGGTAACGGAGAAAAAAAATATACATATTTTCTGGGAAGTAATACATCTATAGAAACTACCGTTTGCAGACGATAATATATAAAGATAAAGACAAGTGAATAGATGAATGACACAAATAACATTGTCACTTCACCCAGCCGTTGCAAAGGCGAAAGGGTCGTCCGAAGTGCCGTTAAAGAGCCTCACTGAATGCAAAAAAAAGAATGTTTACTGAATTCCATGGCTTGGTCTCCTGGCTGGCACTAGAGGTCACCTTTCTCGCAACGGATGGGTCAAAGGTCACACTACAACGAGGGAGTATCAAGCAGGGTCACACATACGGGCACATGCCCCGACTTGCCTCACTCAGCACACGTTCCAACTTCCTTTTTAGTCTCTATTTTTCGACTTTTCAGAGTCCTCTGAATTCTCAACAGTTTCCCAATCCGTCTAAGGAATTT